TGTCCTAAACATTATTACAAAACAAGCCCTGTAAATACAAAAACGCATTTTTTGCAAAATTAAAGCATCAATGCATTGATCTAAAGACAGTGAGGTCCTTCAGTGGAATATATGGTTACTTTGAAATAGAAGAAATATATTAAGTCCTAAAGCACATGAAGTCTTAAATTGGTAGAAAATCACTGGCTTCTCAGACAAAAGGAAGATGTTCCAGCACTTCCACCTTAGTTAAAGATTCAAATGAATTAAATAGTGTTACTTTTGCCAAGAATAACTTAAACGATTGGTCCTGCAAATACAATTTAAGTCTACAGTCATAATTTTGAAGTATAAGTTAAAATTTACAAACACTGAAGTCTAGGAATATTAAGGTCACATGCTTACAAAATATTAATTTTAATACAAACTGTAGCTTTTTACATGATTTAATGAGGACAGCCTGAAAAGGTTTGCTTTTCTAAGCAGAGAAAGTTTGATTTGCTAGCTTAAGCAAGAAGTGTGGCAAAAAATGGGCAACCTAGCCATTGCTAGTTTTACTTTAAAAAAGCATTTGGTACCTCTGAGCATGATGAGCTACATCTTATAACCCAAATAACTAAAAATTGAGGAAAGCTGCTGTTTCATTTAGGAATCAGCTATACATTGATTTAAAGAGATTTTTAATAGACCCCTCTTCTCTCAGTCACCCAGCCCCAGGTGATGCCACAGTTCTTCAGGCACTAATTGGGCATTTGATGTACCTGAACATAAAGTGCAGTGATTCCTGTCTCTGATGTTGTAAGCCCTTGAAAGTGTAGCCCACATTATTTTCAAACACCTATCAGTTAAAATTTATCACCATCGTACTTCAGACTGAAGATATGGACAGTGTCAGGTATCTAAAAACATGAACAATGTGAATGATACACAGCTTCTCCCTTTAATATGTGTTTGCAATCTGTAACAGACTAGTTCGTTAGCATTTAGTTAGAATGTTATGTAATGGTTGAGGTATTTGTAATAAAAACAGTCTATTTCTGTTAGCCTGTTCTTCAGAGACATAAAAGCTGTCCTCATCTGATTTTTATTAGGACTTCATCTTCCTCTTAAGACTTCTGTCCACTCTGTTTTCATTTCACCAACATGCACACAGCATTATTTCCTCCCACCTCCTCACACAAATCTCAGCTTTTATTTTTACACCTGCTTTCACCCATGAGAAGTTCCCATAGGGTTTTGTGAAACCCAGACCTAAAAAAAAAAGAGGGCATGAAGCTGAGTGAAGAAAACTTTGCTACAGAAGATGAACAACTGGTTCTACCAGTAACACACTACTGGCAGTCCCGTCATTACAAGCCCAACATCCATCCCCAACTAGTGGAAAGGTGGTGCATTTTCAGGGCGGAGTTTTTTTTTTCTCCCCTCAAACCCTCCATTACTGTACACAGCCTCTGAAGATGTCCCACTCTTCCTTCAACAGACGGATCAGAGGAATATTTTTTCTTCGCTCACATCTCCAACACACTACCCAAGAGTTTATTCCTCTGCAAGGGCACACTATGGAAGGGTTTAATCTTTCTGCAAGAGCTACCTTTTTCTTTCCATCTCCACATCTAAGCCTCTTACCCACGCCACCCCTATATGATATTTAGGCTACATCTTTCACCCTCTCTCCACTTTCACATCACTCCTGTTAGTTAGCCTGAAAAATATTCTGGAATAAAGGGCTTGCACTTTCAATAACCTAGGACACCTGGCTGAAGTCAACCCCATATGATATACCCACTGCTTTGACTTAACATTCCTTCTTTTTATTGACATACAGCATTCATTCAGACAGAACAAAACCTACACAAGAGCTCCCTTCTGAACTGTATCATCTTTTGCTTGCTCTTTGTGGCCCCTTTCGCTTTCCCTAGTAGGCTTCAGGATGTGGGGAAACAGGACCTACAGAAGACGTGTACCATAAATCTGTACCATTGAACAAGGACTCTGGCAACCAAGTTAACTATTTTTCCATGTTGCTCTACAAAAAGCTAGGGTTCCTGTTATGAAGTCTAAATGAGAGAAAAGAAATTATAAATTGCTACTAAACTGCAAAGAGACAGAATATTTCTATTAGCAAAACTCACAAAAATTACTCTGTATTGATTTATACATATTTTACAAGCAATACATTACCAAATTACCAAAGCAATACACTTTATGCAGGAAACACATATACAATAAGGCGGAGTTCTAGGTGACAGAGACACACACAGAGGCCATAATCCTAGTCTCCACACACAAGCACTAGCCTATGCCAGTTCTCACTTCAGTCTGAACAGCTACCTCTTAAGCCCACACCTCCACCAAAGCAGTCATACTCCTCACTGAGCACAATATTCTGAGGGACAAACTGCATTTTCATTGAACATTCACCAAGTTCAAAGAACTCTGAGATTCTTTTTCTCTGAAAAAACTTTGAGATTCCTTAGTCCCAAGGAGGCTGTAGCTGAGTTGCACTAAAACACCCTAAAATTAACTTTGAGGAAAAATTCTCTAGACTACGTTAATTCAAAGAAAAGTGACAGCCATTCAGCTCCTGGCAGTCAGTATTAAACGGTAATCCTTTTGTTTCTCACTGATGCACAAATGAGATCATGTCCTGTTTCCTCCCCCCTTCAAAAGCAGTTTCTTGTCTGAGCAGACCTCTGAAAACTAGACAACGGGTAGGCCTGATGCCTCACTGCAGAAGAAACAAAGCTATTAAAAATTAGAGCCCTGTTCCTTCTGTTGGAAATAATGCTAATTTCTACTAATATACTCATCTGACCCCAGTAATCAAAGAGCAGCAAGGAAAAATGGTCCTTCCTCAATGATACAGAGTTCAAGACCTTTCACAAAGGAACAAGGTTACAAAACACACGTGTGAGACACAAAAAAGAAAGAAACAGAAAAATGTTCCTTTCAACACCCAGCACCATGCTCTTATACATGCTCCGCTTCCCCATAAAGAGGACCTGAACCAGAAACCATCTGGGCCATCTTTCACCTCAAGATTTTCAACTCCTGCATCCCTAGGTGATGGCTCCCAATATGCCCACTGCAGACTGGCTGCCTGAATTTTAGCCATGTCATCTAACCACACTCACACCATCCTTTAAGTGCTATCAATATGAACACCCCTGACTCTGATCACCTCACCCCTACAAACCTTGTCCCTAGGAGCAGAAACAATACCTTCCGGAACGGTGCTTCACTCAGTCCTACATCAAATAACCCAGGAACAGCCTTTTACTGTACATCTCAAGAACTGTGGATGAATATTTCAGAGTTAGAAAAACGAAGCGCCGTGCCCTGCATGTACCTCCAGCATCCCGTAAGAAAAGGCTCCCCTCCCCCCGCGTTTCTGGAAGAAGAATCACAGCCACAAAGTGAGCGCAAACGCACGAAGGGGACGGCACGTTTCTCGAGTAATCTCCCTCGAGACAGAGAGACCTGGAGCCGTTAAAAAAGAAAGGGAAATTGCTTGAAAGAAATTACAATGATGTCTGAAAACCGTAAGCCTAATTTGTTTCTCTTTGCAAGTTATTTAAGTATAGAAAAAGCAATGGTGCTTTTTTTTTTTTTTTAGTTCTGCATCTGGTGACATTCAGCATAAAAATGACAAAGCCAAACAGCAGAGTGGTCACTTTCTATGACTTTTGGGTTTTGACAGGGCAAGAGAAAGGAAGTAAAAATATTTGGTGGTGACAGTGCAAAACCCACACATTCTAGCAATCCTCTGGTTGAGGCGTTGTATCTCATCTGCTTTAGGTCACTTAATCAGTTTAAGGCCATATGGAATTGCCATTAGTAAGGGCCAGCACTTGATTGCTATTTCTCTTGTTGGTATTCAATTAGTTCAACAAAGTGTACTAATAAAATAATTACTAGAGCATCAAAGTGAGAATTAGTATCTGTGCGGTGTCTTAGTTATTGTCTGCATCAGTTTATACTTTAAAAGTTTCTGTTGTTTTTTTGGTTTTTTTTGACTTTTCACTTCTGTGAATAAGGTTTATTTTATTGAACCCTTTCAGATGGAAGAACTTATTTATTTTAAAGCAGAAATAGTAGGAAATGTACAGTAAATTTGACATTTCTGTTGTAAAACTGGTGAGGTATTAATTCTACTTAATCTATTCCTGCTAGTGTGGTCTAGAAGATTTAAAAGAAGCTATTTGTCTTGCCAGTGCTTTTAAACTTTTCTTGGTTTGTCTTGAGGGAGCTGCGTGGCGGGGAGGGGGACGGCTGGGGACACGCCGGGAGGGATGTGGCTGCAGCCCGAGTGCAAGTGCGCAGCGCCCGACCGCTGGGTTTGCAGCAAAATCCCCAGATGAAGGCACCCGCGGGGGCGTGGGGCGGCTCTGCCTTCTCCCCGTGGGCTTCAGGGTTCCCTGCAAGCCTGAGGCTGCTCGGGCAATGGCGGGGACGCTCGCCCGCCTGGATTTGTCACTGTATATATTATTTCCTAAGACGGGGCTTTCCCCTCTGCCACGACTCGGGGTACCGGGTCCACTTGACACACACACCCCACACCCACACCCCCCCCCGATAATAAACCATTAATAAAACCATCAGAGAAGACCAAATCCGTGAGGTTTATTTGTGGCTCCCTACTTCATGTCCCAAAAGTTACCAGACAAATACGAAGATCTCTACAGTTAGTGTTTCAGAAAATCTCAAGGTGTCGTGGGTCTTGCTGAAATTTTACGGAGGAAGATCTAGGGAAGCGGGGGGGGGTAAAATGGCTCTTCCCAAGAGCGGTCTGAAGATTCAGCCTGGTGCTGGCGCAACAAGGGCACGGATTGCGGCAGGTTTGGGGTAAACACTCCGTTCGGCTCTTGGTGGGGTGAAACATCGGCAGGGGGAGGCCAGACACCAGACAGTGCCAGGGTCTGGGCTCCTGGGCCAGGTCCGGTCCCGGTGACAGCACCCAGCAGCGGCACAGCTTCGCACCGTCCCCAGCTTGCCCGGGACTGGGTCTCACCAGGTTTCTTCTACAGCTGGGGATGTGCCCAGGAGATCCAGCCTGGCCAGGGGTATTTAGAAAGGAGGAAACCTGCTGTGAGAGCCGCGACTGGCAGGGCCAGGAGGCACATCCAGCACCAGCTGTCAGAGCCGTCAGAAGAGTCATCCACCACCCGAGTTCTCAAGGGCTTCAGCGTCCGCTGCCACTGAGTCAGGATGGCGTCTCTGGCCCCGCTCCACTTCCCCCGTCCCACCAGTCGGTACTGGTAGGGGCTGCAGGGGCCGAAGAAGATAGCCAGGGCCAGCCGCGGGTCTGTCAGCAGGAGCTTCAGCACGTTGGGCTTTACGCCAGCACACGAAGCAATTTCATCGGTGTAGCTGATAAAACTTATTTTCAAGTTCTCCCTCTCAGATGGATTCCTTCAATGGGACATAAAAGAGACAAAATCAAATAGCATCATCCCATCCCAGTTCCCAGCTCCACAGAAAGCAAAAGCTCTGGGTTCAGACATCGGCCAAGCCCGGGTCTCCGGGGCTGAGCTCCTTCAGCCCCAAATAAATCCAAAGGCAACGAAAGAGCCTCTGTGGGGTTCGTCCCCTGCAGTTACCTGGGGCAGGCAGTAGGAAGAAGCTTGTTTTGTCTCTGCAACCTAGTTGTGGCCTCAAAAATGTTTCTAGCATAATACTGCCATCATTGCAATGTTACAAATACCCACACTATGTCTTTCCCCAAGGTTCACAGGTGTGGATTTGGCCAATTTTGAGAGGTAGAGGAGTAGACATTCTCAGATAAGACTGCCAAGGGGACTGGGAAAACTGGGAGATGCAGAAAGCTTCCCATGCTGGGAGGGACCTCCAGGATTTTTCTGCCTGAGGCCTCATCTCCCTCGCAAGAGGGAGGATGTGTGCTCAGTCTGCTTCAGCAAATTTGGAACACCCTTGAATTGAGCTCCGTTTCACCTCAGAGTCCCATATTTCTGTGTAACAGCATTGTGTCTGCAGTCGCTGGGGCTCTTGGTGACAATCCTTGTGGCTCTGTTTTGTTCCAGATTTTCATCAGTGACCTATGAGCCAGCTCTGCCTTGCTGGCAGACCTAACCCAGCCTGCACGCCTCCCGGCCCAAGGTCCCCTCCTTGCTCCCAAAAGCTGCTGCAAGGAAGCACGTCTACCATCACCCCTCCCCAGCCTTGAGGACACATCTCAACCTCCTGTAAAATCCCAGTGCCAACAAGGCGGGACATTAGCTCCCATGTACACTACGGACAAGTTCCAGCCTTGCCTAATACTCATCTTGACCTGTCAAAAACTGCCACCAGATGCCCCCCACCTGCATTGCCTGGCTCCAGTGGGGTTTCTGGATGCGGCTTGGCCCTGATCCTAGTGCTCTGCGCTGCCTGGATTTGGGAGGGAGAAGCCACGAGATGGCAGCCTTAGTCTGGAGGAAACCAAACCTCCATCTTGACATGCTGGGAATGAGGGCATGGCTTGGAGGCCTCGCAGAGAGGACCTGCAGGTCCCGGGTCTTGCTGTAAGCTGCTCCAGAGCACTCCGCCCTTGATGTCTTGATCTGTCATCCATGAAGGAGCCACAACAGCATTTCCCCACTTCGCTACGGGTGGTGAGGGAATAAATGCATCCAAGAAGAGTTGGGTGTCCTAGGTGGGTCCCTCCCATGACTGCCGTAGGGCCCCCCTTTCCCTGGGGTTATCCTGGCACACAGCGCCCATTGCACCCTGAGCGCAGGAGCATCATGCACCTTTTGACCGGAGGCTTCTGCTTCAAAACATCATCCATCATCCTGCTGGCACGAGGGAGCTTGTTCCAGCCTGAGAACAGAGAAACCAGAGACCTCCAGCAGCACCTTAAGCTGAAAAGTTCACCCCCTTCCCATGCTCCCAGCCCCTTTACTGAGAGCGTTCATGCTTGCTGGTTACGGCAGCGTGCGTGGAGCAGCAGGTATATGGGGATGCAGTTGGGGGGCAGAGGCTACAGTGCTACTAATGTCCATGGCCACCACAGGCACTGCAGCAGAAGCTGAAATATGCCCTAGGCTCTGTGGAGAGCAGATCAGGCTGCTCCAGACCTCCCACCCCAGCAGATCCCCCCATCCCTGCTCCCCGTCTCCCACCTGCAAAGATCCCTGTCACCCAGCGAGCCTGCATTTCTGTTCCCACCATCACAGAGCCGGTCAGCTGGACTAAGCCGATGATGGCCAGCGTCGGCTTTTCCAGCTGGGGAGGGAAGATACGTTTATAGAGGTCGCGATTATCACCGAAGAGGCTGCGAACCGACTCTTCGAGGAAGGGAAATGGGAAGATGTAGCCCGTGGCAAAGAGCACCACGTCAATGTTTTCTTCGGTTGTCCCATCTTCAAAAACAGCAGAGTTTTCGGTGAACTCCTTCACATTTGGCTTCAACACGATGGTCCCAGAGAGGAGGCAAAACGGCAGCTCTTCGTTGATAATTATCTTAAAGTTGGAGCTTGCAGGTGGAAAAGAGGACAGCAGTGTTAGCATCAGGGAGGGACCTGAAACATCTTTTGTGGCCAGAGTTCCCCTCCAATGGTTTGCTATTCCACAAATATTCCCTAAAATTAAAAACTGAGCATTTCACGCCATTAAAACCCCCTGACCAACCAACAATATAGTCAGAAAAAACACCTTTTGGTGGAAGCCAAGCCATAGTTTGCATGGTTAAACCACGAATTGAACTTCCGAAACCTGATCCTCTTCGTGAGGGCTGATGGGAGAAGCCAGTCCAGAAAGTGGTTGAAGCGGGTGGTGTTGACCATGTCGAAGGGGAAGCCTTGGTCCGAGACCCGGCTGAACACCCACGTGTTTCTCCTGGCGCTGAGGAACACCTGGAGGAGAAGGCAGGTCTCAGACTCCTGCCCTGACCTCTCATTGTCAGCTTTGCCCTGAATTGCAAATCCCAGCTCTTGCACTTAGGAGCTGAGAGGGTTATCCCAAGGGAAGGAGATGGCATCTGGATGAACTGAACAGCTCGTGGTAGCTTCTGCAAAGTTCCCACAGCTGCTGAACGGCCACTCCTCAGGTGGCCCAAACTCCAGGAATTGCAGAGCTTCTTCAATTGCCCTCAATTTGAAGTAGTATTTATTGAAAAACCCAGTGGGCAAAGCTTCCTGTGTATACCCCAAGCTACTGGCTCTCGTGGTTGCTGGCCAGGTTCAGCACTGCCACAGAGCTGTACCTTTGCAGCCACGCGGCTCAGCTCCACGGAGAGGTCACCACCTGTGTTGCCAATGCCGACCACAAGGACCCGCTTTCCCCGGAAAGCTTCCACGTCTTTATATTCCTGGCTGTGAAGGTACTGGCCTTTGAAGCGAGTGTCAATACCTAGGCAGAGAGCAGGGAGCATCTCCTACTACCAGATACGTTTGCTTGCCCCAGCCTCATGCCTAGACCCTCTGCAGCCCCTGCCCCTCCACCTCCCACCTCTGCTTGCGACTGAGAAGCCATGGAGGTCTCAGCTCCCTGGGTGATGCCACCCTCCTCCACCTCCTCAGCTAGGTCCTGCTTTGCAAATTCTCAGGCAAGAGCCTGGCTGCATCTTTACGAGGTGTTTTTCCCATTCCCAGAGGGTCCCTCCTACCCCAGAATGGGGGCTTCATGAAGCAGACAGGCTTGCAGAAGAAAATGCAGCTGAGGGACCCATGGGTGCTGGGTGAAGCCCTGGGGGGCAGCCCCAGCCCACCTCACTGCTGAGGCAGGGTTTACCTGGGAAAGAAGCCAATGGTAAGTGGGGCTCCTGGTAATGGCCGGTACAAACCATGACGGCATCGAAGATGTGTGACTCCTGGACACCGTCGGTCTCGGTGACCACATCCCACTGGCCCGAGGTGGTGAAATCCGGGCGCTTTTTCACGCTGAGAGCTGTTGTCTTGCACCAAAGCCCAACAAAACAGCAGTCAGGGACTGCACCACGTTTCGGAGAGGACCTGCCTGCAAAGAGCTGGGACTGCTGAGGGCAGGCTGGGTCCCCAGGGAGCTGCATGTCACCTCTGAAGCTGTTAAATCCCACCCTGCACCTTTCCGCTGGTGACCGCATTGTGGGGGGATGCACCAGGCAACCCATGTTTGAGCAGCCTAATTTAAAACCTGGAGCCGAAAAGGCTGCGTTCAGGATGCAAAAGGCACGTGGTCTTTGCAGGATTGCACCCTGCATTGTCCCATCCTACCTGGGTGATGCCCTGGTATCTGCAGCCACTGATGGCTCTTCTCCCCATGACATTTGAGTCCCTGCTTACCTTGAAGCGTATGTGCCGCAGGAGGTCAAAGTGCTGGGCATACATTCGAAAGTACTCCAGGAGGAGACCGTGGGGTAGGAAACTGGGAAAATCCTCTGGACAGGGGAAGTCGCTGAAGCAGGACATCTCCTTGGAGGTGTTGGTGATGACCGAGCGGTACACGCTGACTCTCCCGCCATCCATGGAGTCCTGTGTGAAGCCAGCGGTGCCGTTTGCAGGTGTGCGGGGAAGGACTTTCTCCACCCAAAGTATTTGAGTATTTTTCCTCCATGTATTCGGGTACAAGGAATAAACCAGAACTAGCACCTGGTGAGCAAGGCCTTGTTCCCTCCATCTCCTTCTCCACCTTGGAGTCAGGGGGAGCACCATGCCTGGGACAGGGACAGTCCCCGAGGACATGGCCACCCTTTCCTATTTGCTCCAGGCAAAGGGCATCCAAAGGGAGGGGACAAACCCAGGGACAATCCTCCCCGCGCAGGCAGAGCCCACTGACCGTGTAGCGCCAGAGCCCCCCGATGTCCTCACTCCTCTCGAAGCAGGTGGGCTCCAGCCCCTCGTCCAGGCAGCACTTGATGGAGGCCAGCCCACCAACCCCAGCCCCAATAATGGCCACACGCTGGACCATGCTGTCCTGCAGCAGGCGACGGGCCGGCGTGCGAGAAACTGGAAATAAAATAGCCCAGGGATTAGCAGAAACACCAACCCCTTCTCCCCACCCCCAGCAAAACACCCCTGGTCTTCTCCGGCTGCGGGTGTCCATGGAGGAAAACTGTCCTTGGAGAAAGCCATCGCCAGCTCCTGACTTGAGCATCACGGACAGATGCTGCTCATTACCCTTCCTGCTGTTCTAAGCCCACACTAAGGGCCCAGCGATTCCCCTTCTGCAGGCAGGGGAAAAGGAGGAACTTTTAAACCTCACTCCACTGCTGCTTCTATTTATTCCTTTTCCTGGCCAAAACCAGAGCATGCAAAGAAGGGGAAGGGGCTCGCAGCTGTCTGCTGCTGCCTGCACAAAGTGATCTTCCTGAAACCTTTTCAAGAAACAATTTCAGTTAAACTGGCTCATTTTCATATTTACTTCCTAATTTCCCATTAAAGGGCATTCTCTCGAAAACAAAAAGGCTTTTTAGAAAAAAAAAAAAAAAGTGATGCCTGACTGAGCAGGAGCACAGCACAGTAATTCAGAAGTTAGACAGCACCGTGAAAGTGCGGCTGGGATTACAGAATATACAAAAGGTAAGAAACCCAGGAAACGCAGGGTATAAATGGGAGGAACTCAAAGCTTGGGGTGTGTAAACTGAGCTGCACCGAGCTTGACTGGAAAGCAAAGAAACTAGGAAAAAATGAATCCATGTGAACTTTGATTAGATAACACACACTCCTGCTGCAAAGTCTGAAGAAAGAGTCATTTAAAACATTTTTTGTACCCGTTTTGTGTCAAAAAGTAAGTTAACATAAACAGGAACTGGAGGAAAATGCAGAAAGCCAGGGAAAAATGAGGGAGGCGCAAAAAAAACCCCCTCTTCATCCAAAAGCCCAGCTTGAGCCACTCCTTGATCTGCAGGAACAGGGCAGGACATACCAACGCTCGCCCGCCCCCCCGTTTCCGGAGCCTCCCTTGGCTTTGGGAAAGGGTAGCGACATGCCTGGGGTGCTAAAGTCAGCCCTCTTTTCCAGCGCTGTCTACAGACGGCTTTGCTCCAGAGGGTCCCCGCAACACCCCCTCGCCCCCCGCCAGCAGCGGGGTGAAGCTGGCGGTGAACGCCAAAACCCCGGAGAGCTGGCTGCCCGCTTTTAAAGCCTGCAAAACCCAGCCGGAGAGAAGCGAGGAGCAAACCTTGCGGGGCAGTGCTGTGCCTTCGCTGCTCAGGCTTCGGCTGAACTTTGCTTCGAGTTTCTCTAGCCACCTATTTAAAGGAAAGGCTGAAGTCTGGGCAGCTCGTCACGGTTCTTGCACCACTGACCTTTACACCCATGCTATCCTACTCTTAATGCTTAAACGCATTGGCAGAAAGTTCTCAACCGCCCCGTGGCAGTGCCGGGTGAAAATCCGGACCATAATCCCAAGGAGGCCAGGCTTGCGAGGACTCCCACGCTGCAGCTCGCCACTGCCCCAGCCCCGGCAGCAGCTTGGGGTTGTCCTGATCCGTCCCCACCATGTGCTGCCTGCACTGGGCAGGCGCTCACTTGGCATCCCCGGGAAATCAGCAAAACACACTCCCTTTGCCTGCAGACAGCAAGGATGGGGGGGACAGTGCACAGTGCAGCCTAATTTTTGAAAGCCCTTGCAGCCCCAGGCTTGTGGGTTGCCCATGGCACCTGCTGGCATGACCCCAGCCCAGGCACAGGACCCCCCAGCTCTTCCCATGCACACAGGGAGATGACGAGGCGGCAGCCTGCAGCACTCTTCCGCCACAGCCGATGAAGTTTTATTGATTGAAAGTCTCCATGCACAAAACAAAGCCCCGGGATTGTCCAGTGGTGGGGAGTGCAGGGAAGCGGAGCTGGGAGCGCTCAGCCCCATAGGGTATCAGTCGTGGTCTCAGGGGTGACAAACCACTGCAGCCAGGGCCCTTTCACTGGAAAGATGCATCGATTCAACCCAAACTGGGATTTTTGGGTCATAGGGTTTAAGGTTGGAAGAAGGGACAGCCTGACCTGCGTACCCAGCCTAGATAACCCCTTGCTGGACTAAAGATCCCGATTCCTGGGTGATTTGGGGCAGGGCTGGACACCTGTGCTCCTTTCCATCTGTGATACCCAAAGCCATTTTTGCTAATCTTGTCCTCGCTGCATCCTGGCCAGCGTGGTCCAGGCATGGCCATGTCACACAGCCTTGCTCTGCTCACAGCAGCAGGCAGGAGAGCAGCAGAGGGGTAATACATGCTGGGGGGGAAGCTGCCATCCCCGGGTAATCAGGTCTGCAAAGCTGTGCTTGGGGGTGAGCTGGAGCAGAGAGAGTTTTGCACTGCTGGTTAGTTTTAAATTCGTTGTGATCTGCTGAAATCCCTTTCTCCCTGTCCTGTGGCACTCTGTGGAACTGTCTGGCCCGAGATAACATCCCCAAGGACAAGAAAAAACCTAAACAGGCTCTCAAATCTAATGGAAACCAAAAACCAGGGCAGCCAGAAGCAGGAGAAACCCCACCACAGTCAGGAGAGAAGGGCAGGTGCTGGAGGAGCTGGCGGCGACTCGAGTTCTCGTGGGCTTCACGATCTGGTCCCACTGGGGGAGAATGGCCCGGCGTGCCCCCTCCCAGAGCCCGGGGCCCCCCAGCCGCTACCGGTAGGGGGGGCAGGGGCTGAAGAATATGGTGAGGGCCAGCCGAGGGTCTCTGCAGAGCAGCCCCAGCACGTTGAGCTTGGCGCCGATGAAGGAGGTGAGTGTGTCCGTGTAGACCAGGCAATCGGTTTTGAGGACTTCATCAAAGGACAGACCAAACCTTAATGAACTGGAGAAGAAAAAGAGGTGGGAGAAGGATTGGTGCCACTGGGGCTGAGAGGAACTGGAGGTCAGATGCTCTGCATCTGTAATTGTTATTACATGTGAACGCAACTGGGTTCCTTTTAGGAAAGGACTGGGCATACGTGCAGTGGGAACCAGGGTCTGTCTGGGCCCGAATCCTGTCCATGACACAGCACATGGAAAGTGATGCTGGGTCTGATAGACACCTTTCTCACGTGCGTCAGTTGCTCCTTCACTTCATCACCCACAAGTTGTATCTGGACCTCCTCTCTTCACTTTGGCGGACCTTTTCTAAAAGACTTTGTCAAACCAGTTTTGTTTTGTTTTTTTTAACTAGTTTCCCTTTGCTCTCTGCAGTTTCCCTCACATTCATTTCCCTTTAGTTTCCCTCACGTTCATTTCCACTGAGTATTGCAAAAAGGTGTGGTGAATTGAAGAACTGATTCCAGTTCACCTTCCTTGCAGAATTCACCACTTCATGTCCCACCTTCGGCTGTTTAGCCTTGTATTATACAGCAATTGTTCTGTGCAATTCTGTATCTCACTCCTCTATACTTTTTCTACTACAGCAATCTAGACGAATCATGGATTAATATATCACTTAGTTTCCTGGTTTTATTCATTTCCTAATAATTCTTAGCTTCTGATTTGACCTTTTGCCTGCCCATGAACTATGTGCCAATGTGCTGAGACACCTATTCATAGTGATTCAGATCCCTGTGCTGAGAGGTGAGACAATTTGTACGTACACCTCAGGCTGGCTATTTTTGAATTACCTGCTGAATTACCTGCTGAATTACTTTGCATTTATTACCATTTCTCTGCCATTTTATCTCTCAGTCTCTGGGGACCCTGGCACACTTCTCCAAGTCCCAAGCAAGCTTTAGTTTCAATTACCCTGAATTAATTTCTTCCTGTCATCAACAGGCAAAATATCAGCGTCAAATCAAAGGTTACGTTGGCTCAGTGCAAGCGAATAAAGGGGTGGCTGGATCTGGGCATCCCCCCCTCGCCGCAACTATACGTGCAGGGAGCAGCTGCAGAGTGTGAGCTGTGTTGCTGCCCGCCCAAACTTCAGAGGCTTTTCAATCCACTGAAAAACCTTTGGGGCTCCGGAGACTGGCTTACCTTCGAACTTGGTTTTTCTTCTTCTCATTTACTTTCTTCTCCATGACAGACTGAGGAGGCAACTGACACAAGCCTAGAAAAGAGGAGAGTGTCCTGCAGAGTTTAACTCCTGGGGGGACTTGGGAACTCATTCAGCAAAGCAAAACTTGGGAAAAACCCTTCCCTGGGAGGGCAGGAAAGCCTCATCGCTGGATTTAGCTCAGCAGTGGCAACTTGCCAGAGACCAGCCCTCCACAGTGGTATGAATTCTCCTGCACTTTTTCCTGCTCTTACAGATTTGTGCTGTTGGGGCACAGGCAGATGATGGGGGGTGAGACGGGCCATGCAAGCCCCCAGAGAGCATCATCCTAAAGAGAAACCCCAGCTCTGTCAAGGAGCCTTGATGCAGCCCTCCACACCAGCCCAGTGGGAGGTTGTTATTATTATTTTTATTAAAAAAAGATATATGCCAGTAGGTTTCTTTCCTCACCCCAATAATTACAAATAATTCCTCTTGTGAGGCAATGGGGGTCTTCTCTGGTAGTCATGGTGGACAAACCACTCTGTCCCTTAAAGAGCAGTGAATTCTGCCAGGGTGGATCCACCACAGTATCTTAAAGACAACTCTTATCTGTGCATCCAGGTTTACATATCCATCTCTGTGCTCTGACTTCTAAAATATTTTAGAGTGAAAATACTGTCTCGAACAACCTAGTTTAGACTGTGGTTTGCAGGCTCAGGTACAGGACTGGACATCAGCTGAATCAGTAAGGAACAGAGTGCATGCTTGCAGCTTGCAGCAGACACGGTACAAAGCATTAGCTTGAAAGCATCAGCTTAATGGGAAAAAAAAAAAAGTGACTTAAGGTAGATGTCATGAACTTGCATGTAGCTTGGACCAATCATGCACTCGTGTTGCTGTAGCTCAGCTGAAGTGAAATAACTTGGGAAGTCTGAGACCTAGAAATGCTCCCTCATCCACTTTGAAGTGAGCTTCGGGGTCCCCAAGGACTGAAATCCCTCGGTGCATGCAGGGGGCAAGATGAGTCTAGTTTGAACTGCGTTTTGGTACACGGGAGAGCTCACATTAGCTCTCCTACCTTTGAAGACATGGGTCACCCAGCGTGCTTGCATCTCTGTCACGAGCATGATGGCTCCTAATGGCTTAATCAGCACAAGGACAGCTAGGGTGGGCCTCTGCAGGTGGATTGGGAACACGTATTTATAGAGGGACGCGTGCTTGTTTCCCAGCTTGACATCTGCTTCTTCTAGGAATGGGAAGGAGACATTGTAGCCTGTGCAGAAGATGACACTATCGATGGGCTCCTTCTCAGGGCAATTGTGGAAGACAACTGAGTGGTCCATGAACTCCTTCACGCTTGCCTTTATGGTGATCCTCCCCGTCAGGATGTAGCTTGGAAGGTCATCGTTCAGCACGGGCTCGTGCACCAGGCAGCTGTGGAGAGCCGAGGGTCTCTGAGCATTGGAGAACATGAAGAAGCCCTGCCGGTGCCCCTGGTCCTCCTTCCCCTGGACCCTCCAGCCCCACGACCTGCTGCTGTCATTTGCTCTGAGCAAACAGCCTTACCTCCCCCCTCCAAACACTGACATGTTTCACCCTTGCAGCAATGTCACCCTGTTCCATGGCCTGAGTGACCTGTGGACACCTGCCTTCTTCCTTCGTTCACTGAATTACTCTTTAAACCATCTCTTTTCAGAGCTGATCCATGCTTTAAGCCTCCTTCCTCCTCTTTTCCCAGGAAGCCTCATGAGGAAAACTCCTCTGGTCCTTCCTGGGCTTTTCCAGTGTGCTCCATTTTGCACCACCTAAAGGGGCTACTGCTTATCTTCTCCTGCTGGGCTACAAACTCCCTGCTGGAGGTCACCCCAGTCTGGGTGTTGTTTGCTGCATTGGTTGATGTTGATGGCTGGAGATCTGCCCCCTGCCCGCAGCACAAGCCATGTGACACCGCATGGGATGGGAGCCACCAAGAAGTACCTTTTCTCTGGTTGAAGGCCATAGTTTTCATACTTGAACCACTGGTTCACGCTGTAGTTAATCAACCCCCATGAAAGAGATCCAGGGAGCCTGTTTCTGATCAAGCTCATAAGGCGAGTGTTGAAAACCATGTCCCATGGGTAGCTGTGGTCAAACATGCGGCTGAGCACCTATGCGCTTCGACTGGTACAAACAATCACCTGGGAGAGAGCTGAGAATCAACGATTTGGGTGATGAATTTTCCGCTTTGCTTTTATAAAGTAATACCAGAGGGGCACAGCACAGACAGCTATGCAATGAAAAAGCAGCAACAGCATCTTTAAGACCTCCCGGCAGCTGGTGATGGAGGTGAAACAGGAGAGAACAACCAGCTTGCTTTCAGGGTAGGTTTTTGACCAAGAAATGCAGATTCAGAAATACTGTTTGGACAACACAGCTTTCTCTCCCTGCAGTGATGGCAAACTGAGCTATTGGCCCCAGTGTCACCCTCCCCACACCCCTGTGGTGGCTGGGTGGTGGTACTTTCACAGCTACGCAGCTGACCTCCACTGCGATGTCCACTCCCAAATTGCCCATGCCGACCACGAGGACGTGCTTCCTCTGAAACATGTTGGGATGCTTGTACTGCCGGCTGTGAAAGTACTGGCCTTGAAACCTCTCAATACCTTGGGGAAAAAGAAACAAAGCTTTTAATTACTTGAACATTTGTAGTTTTTGTTGGGAGAACTGTCATAGAAACAATCCAGATGGCAAGAGCAAGGAAGCGCAATCAGTGGCCACTGGGGACTTGGGGAGGTCCAGCTGTCCATCCCACGCATGCAGACTTGGTGCTTCCTCTCCAAAATGGGGTCTTACACATACCTGCACAGCAGTGAGCAGGGACACATGTTGGGTGGGACTTGGAAGACAGTCGTGCAAGAGCTGTGCTCGTGCAGTCTTGGGATTCAGCCTCTACAAGATGGGGATGAACAAGAGGTTCAGAAAAGCCTGCAGACCTCCTGTCCCACAAGTGGCTTCAAAAGCAGTTGATAATGCTGATGACAAGGCAACCCTCTCTATGCTGACAACTGGGGAGATTCATCACAGCACTGATGAATACAGCCCTGTCAAAGATGATGGAGCTTCACTGAGAGGACCTTGTCCTGTCTCACATACTGTGTGGACAGTTTCTCCGATGCTAAAACACCCTACCTTGGAAGTTTGCTCTGAAGTGACTAGTGCCTGCAAAAACAAGGCTGCTGAAGCACAAGGACGTATTGCTGTTCATGCCAGGAGATTTGAAAAGCAGAAGCAAGAAAAGGAAGGAAGCATTTTCCCTGAGGAACTGCTAATGCTTCTTCTCCCTCCAGCCCCTGGACGCAGGTAACTGCAGGCAGCCGCATACCATACCGGGAAAACAGTGCAGGGGGAGGGACAGCTCAGAGAAATTGCCGCTGCAAACCATAATGGCATTAAAGACGCGCGATGTCTGCTTCCCATCCGCCTCCATAACCACATCCCACTGGCCCATGGTGGCAAAGTTGGGGTGTTTCTGGACCCTGACAACAGTGGTCTGAAGCGTGGAAGCCAAGCAGAGTCACCATCGGTGCCCAGTGTGGACAGGGAGCAGGGCAGTGCTGGGGCACCCATCACTCACCCCAAACTTGATGTGCTCCTGGAGGCCAAAGTGCTCAGCGTAGCGCCAGAGGTAGTCCAGGAGCTGGGCGTTGGGCAGGAACAGCGGCAAGTCCTCAGGGT